TTTTGTTACACAATCAAAGATTGGCCAAATTACAAAATCAAGCTTGGATGTGATTAAACCTTTTCACCACCAGACTTTCTCGTCCAAATTTTTCTGTAATTTTGTTTCTTGTATTCTTCAATATTTCTGGAAATGAACTTTAATTGTGGAGCCAACAGACATAATTTGAGTCAATTTTCAGTTTTTATGCAAAAAATTTGGCTATTTTTGACCCAACCTTCTGAAGGAAATTGCAGACTATAAACGGGACTATTTTGTGAATTTGTAAAGAAAAGAGGGAACTTGTGGTGAAAAGGTGAAGATTACCCTGAGTTGCAAACTAGAATACTGAGTTGTTTTCTGTCCAGCCATTAGGTTCCTCTCCTTTGAATATATAGGACAACTATTAAAATTGAACTACTGTGTCAATGTAAACATTGAATATTATGAACTTGCGTATTACGGTTATTTTTGTTTAGCGTACTCCTGAATTCAACAGTAATGTCTGACAGATTTATTGTAGTGATGAAGACAAATAATAACTTTGACAGAATATCTCACAAACACAGTAAATTTTTTTTTTTTTTTGTGTGCCAGGTGACAGTTCATTGAATATTACTGTTGTCTCTCTTGACTTTGTTTTTTATATATGCAAATTGCAAATTTTTGCCACAGAAGTCATATTCCTGTTTGGAACTACATGACAGGGCTGTGCGGCCATCTCCTTATCAAATGGCAATTCAATGTGCTATCCTGGCGTCAACTAGGCCCAGTCAAACACCTGCGGACCTTAACCAAGGTTCCCCTAAAGTCACATTCGTGAGTAAATGAATCTCAGCCAGTGGAATTGGCCTTCCCATTCATTGAGACTGTGGCACACTCACCCAGGGTAGGGGTCGACCCTTTTGATGTTCAGCCTAAAGTAGGATTCGAATTTGGGTCTATGATGCGACAACCACTATGCTACCAGTGAAATTGAAAAATCTTTCAACTACATGTAAGTTTACCAACAATACAAGAAAAGTTGGTAGCATAGTTTGATTGTGATTTTACCAGAACTTTAACATTGTAGTATCCCCTTCCATGCACATTATAAATAAATAAATGAACGGACTCTGAAGAGTAGGTAACCTTTAACCTCTTGTAAAGGTGAAAACACTCAACATACACTGAAGTAATACAAATGTCTCTCGTATATCATGGAAGTAAACACTTTATAAACAATGTACATTTCTAGGCAACCATAAACTCTGGAGTCTGTTTTTCTACAGTAAATAAGACTGGTTTATGGATTATCATATACCTACATATATATTATATACCAATACTCTCCTCAGTAAAACAGCATGGAATATTGACTAATTTGCATAACAACACCATATGTTAATTACAATAATATATTCATTGTTATGCTAAATAGGCTATATTGTTAATCAAAATATAAACTCTTTAATGCTCCCGGGAGAGTCCTGTATACATGTACATATTCCCCTTCCTCGTAACGCCATGAGAAACCCAATGAGCGAGCCATGTAATGATTTTCCATATCACACGGGCACTGTTTTACCATATTTCGACAAACATATTCCTTTTATGGATTTAGAGAGGCACGCACTCCGAACTGGTTTCAGCCAGTTGTACCGGTGTTGCCAGAGATGACGTTCGTAGCTATAGTCGGCTCTGATCTTGACAGTATAGAAACTTTGCTGTTATGTTTTGAGGCTTGTCATTATAAAAGATTGATGATCACATTAGCTACAACTAAGATATTTCAGAGCTGAAATACATAACCACATTCAAGAGATGACATATTCCCTATAATGATTCTCACGTATTTCTCTTTTTTATGTGAGAACACACTAGGAAACAATCATTCTCACGCACGTGAGATTGGGACGCAAAACCTTATAAAGGTTCTCACGTATTTTTTCTTTTTACGTGAGAACACACTAGGAAACAATCATTCTCATGCACGTGAGATTGGGACGCAAAACCTTATAAGGGTTCTCACGTATTTTTTTCTATTTACGTGAGAACACACTAGGAAATGACCATTCTCATGCATGTAAAAAGTAATTACGCGACAATGGCTAATTTCCGGCTCAACTCACGTACGTGAGAAAGACGTGAGAATGATCAAAATTTTGACCTATAAATAACTCAATAAATGGTAGAAATAAGATTAACAGTAATAACCGAGATAAATAAAGCACCAGTAGTTGTGTTATGCCATTGAACCAGTATCAGTATTATTGTAAACTCTAGAAAATCAATCTGAGTCAAAATTTCTTGTTTTTACTTTCTAATATGTTTTTGTCAAAATCTGCAGTTTGCATACTTTCATTCCATAGTGAACAAAGCGTTCAACGTAAAACTGCAAATTGTGCTAAAAATGTAATTTTAGGTGTACAGTAATAAATATATGCCTACACTACAGTTTGGGAAAAAACTCAGTGTTCAATATGATTTATATTGCAAGTACACATCCAATATTACATTTAATAAATATTAGCTCTATTAGAAGTATGTGTGCTGTCCTTTTAAAACATACAACTTTCTCCTATTGGAGACGTGCTTCCAATACAGCAAATATGGTGCTATTGGGCTTGACAAATTACAGTATCTGTGACAAGGAGATTTCAACCCAGGGTAAATAAGACAAGAATTCATTTGATAGATATTCCGATCGACTGAAAGTTTGACTTGCTATGTGACAGTAAGTGTTACATCAGTAGACGTGTCACCGTTTCAAGTGACAACCATTTCTATTATCACACTTGTAATAACTCATTCTATGACAGCAGAAAAACAATGGCTCAAGTGAATGGCTTGAAAAAACAGGTACCAGTATTATACAAATACATTCATGGGAACTATTTTCCTAAATATTTCAATGATAACAGCAGCAAAAGTCATTTAGATAAACACATTATGCTTAATAAAATGATATGTTAAATAGAACAAGTATGTTAAGGAATATGTCACCATGATCCCACCATGATATCACCATAATCCCAAAATGATGTCACATGATGTCACCATGATCCCACCATGATGTCACCATGATCCCACCATGATCCTACCATGTCACCAAATTATCACCAAGTTGTCACCAAGTTGTCACCATGATGTCACCATGATGTCACCATGATGTCACCATGATCCCACAATGCTGTCACCATGGTTCCACACATGTATATATACTTACTAGTATCCTACAGGACATGCTACACAAACACTGTCATAATATTCTCCAAGGTTACAAGTAGGGCTGCATGTCTGGCCTGAAATAAATAAACAAATAAATAATAAGGGAAACACTAATAAGGTTCTATACTAC